GGAACAGAATAGTCTTAGAGTAATAGGTGATATCAAGTTTAAGAGAGGAAATACAGACGCTAAGCTTACATCTTGTCATACTAAAAGCAATGATTTTATTTTTCAAAGGTTGAGATAATGCTAAAAGAGTTCAAGGGCTACCTTAAAGAGTCAAGAGTTAAAAAACTGAACATTAATAAGAATAATAGTAATTCACCTAAAACACATCAGAAATTTTAAATTCATTACTTCATAATAATTCTCTATTATCTTGTTCTTTGAAAATACATCTTGCTGAGATTAAAAATAATGTCACCAGAAGACAGGGACATATCATGTATTTTTCTCAAACACATTATGGAGATGTTAATGGCCCACAATCATCACATTCATCACATTCAAGGGAAGTCATAATTCAGTGACTCCATGTACTCCATGTTGTGTTTTATGAAGTAATATTTCCAAGGTGTCTACAAGTTTCTTTCTTAAGACTGTTTCAAAAATCCATGTACTTAAAACTCAACGCTCTAGCAGTTTCAATCCGTGAAACAAAGACTTTACAAATTTGAATGCCAACTCACGTAGTTTTGAACTTACAAGTAAATGGAAAGTTATTGAGCAGAAAATAGCTTCAGATAAAGTTATTTCTTTAATTTGAAATTAAGTTAGTGACCTTACACCAGCCTTTTCTTCAGTCAGTTTGCATAACAAGTATAATTTAGTGTTACACAAACAGTCCTATTTATTGCAGCTCCCAAGAGCATTGCTGTAAAGAATTGGTATGTATTTACATGTACATGAGTTATTAAGAGGCATAATTCATTTTTCACATAGTCCACTTAAGATAAAAGGAAGTAGATATTATTTTTGTCTTCAATCATAAAGCATTTCTTGACAATTTAGCATGTTATGGGAGATTAGACACCATAAAAAAATGAAAATAACAACAAAGTCTTTTAAAATGAGATGGTATGAAAGCAAGAAATTCTCAGAACCCCCAAAATGAAATAAAGCAGAACTTTGGGAAATATGCAAGGATAAAAGTAGACAAGAATCAAAGCTGCCCTTCACTCTAGGAATTTTTGCCAAATCCTAGAGTCACTGAGCTTCAACACAGCATCTAAATGGAGCATTAAATAAGCCGCACTCTCTCCAAGGTAAATAAACTAATGGGAGATTTCTGTGTAATGGTGACAAGGAAAGAATACGTAAAGGGTCAGCAGGGAGAAGTAATATTTTCTGAGAATTTACAGCTTGGCCCTTGGAAGGATTTATGTATCTTGTTTCATGCTATTCATGAAATTTGAAAAACATGAAAACAAGAATCACCATGTTATTTTGTCAGATGTCACTTAGCAACTGGGCAAGCGAACAATAATATCTTTAAAAAAATACTTTAACCCCGTTCTCAAAGAATTTTTAATGGATAGAGATAAATGAATAGTTTAAAGTTAGCAATTATGATCTACACAAGCAAATAAGGCTTTATGTATGAAAACTCACAGAAATAGAACTATAAATTCATAAATTAGATCCAGACTATGACATACTTAAACTAGATAAAGGAAATCTTGTCTTATATTTGGTTCCTTAGAAAAAGAGCTTGAGACTGAGACAGAAATAAAAAGATACTTGAATAAGTATGTTTTATTGAAGGAGTAATCATCAGGAAAATTCTGTGAAAGAGGGAGTGAAGGAAATATGGAATGGGAAAGAACTTGAACATGGGTAGAAATTCTACATTTATTCTTTCTTGTTTTTGTAATGATCTGGCTATATAAATACATATACATTACAAAGTCAATCAGTAGTTCATACTAGAAAGGATCAGGAGCAGAGAAACTCATTTCATACTGTTTGGAGTGGAAACTGGTACAACCACTTCAGAAAAGTTTGATGTTCCAAAGTAAAGTTGAACAATACATTTGCCGTATGATCCAACATTTTCAGTCATATCTTGGAAAAACTTTTGAACATGCTGATAATATTAGTAGCAACATTTTAATATTAAACTTATTTGGAACATCTCAAATGTTGATCAGTAGTTATATAATATTGGGCAGCAATAAAAATGAATGAAAAACTATATGCAATAAATGAATGAATCTCAAAAAAAAAAAATATGGGACCCTGCCGGAGCCGCCGCTGCCAGCGACATGTTCAAGGTAATTCAGAGGTCCATGGGGCCAGCCAGCCTGAGTCTGCTCACCTTCAAAGTCTATGTAGCCTCAAAAAAGAATCCACCTCCTAAAATGTCTGTGAAGATTGATGAGCTTTCACTCTACACTGTTCCCAAGGGTCAATCTAAATATGTGGAGGAGCCAAGGACCCAACTTGCGAGCCATATACAAGTTGGTGTCAGGAAATGTACTCCCAAACTAAACCCAAGATGCAAAGTTTGTTTCAATTGGGCTTAGACAGCTATGATTATCTCCAAAATTCACCTCCTGGATTTTTTCCAAGACTAGGTGTTATTGGTTTTTCTGGCCTTGTTGGACTCCTTTTGGCTTGAGGTTCAAAAATAAAGAAGCTGGTGTATCCACCTAGTTTCATGGGATTAGCTGCCTCTATTTATTATCCACAACAAGCCATCGTATTTCTCCAGGTCAGTGGAAAGAAATTATATGATTGGGGTTTACATGGCTACATAGTTGTAGAAGATTTGTGGAAGGAGAACTTTCAAAAGCCAGGAAATGTGAAGAACTCATCCGGAAATAAGTAGAATACTCCATACAATGCCCGTTTTAATCAGTTACAGGTGAACATTGGAAACTCCATAAAGTAAACCACTATTTCTGCAGAAAAAAATGGCAGAGAAGTCATTATTGAATGTAGCAAATTGGCTTTCTTCAGGAAAATCTACATTAGGCCTCTTTGTTAACTTGAAGTATGCCATACTACAAGTGGACTAACCTGAAATCCTTTCACCTAAAGATAATGTCCAAGCCTTAGAACTTCTTGTTCTCATGTCGCTGTTTATGTACATAATTAAAATTCTAAGTTAACAAAAAAAATATGATGTTGAGCAAAAGAAGCAGAAGAACATACAGTGTGTGCTTAATTTATCCAAATCACACAGAGATAATATTAGCTAAAATTTTTATGGGTAATATGTAATGTAAAATTTTAAAGAAAGGAAAGGAATGATTAACACAAAATATAATTTGGTAATTACCTCTGGATTTGAGGAGGGAAGGGAATGAAAATTGGGAAAAAGAGTATTTTTAAACTTGGGTGACAAGTACATAGTGCTATTTATGCTTTTAATTCCTAGTGCATGTAACTTGTAACTTGATATAATTTTAATATTAGTAGCATGAAATATTTTAGAATTTAAACTTAAAAGCAATTTCCATTATTCAACAATCTAATTAATATACTTGAGAATTTTCCTTCATAATAATCACACTTGTCTTTTATAGAAGTTATAATTTGTCATTATCTCTTTACTTGGGTGTAATTACCTGTTTTTCCTATGACAGCTGAAATCATGACAGCTGAAACCATGTCTGTTTTGTTTACCACTGTGAGGTTACTTCTTCATGAAGTCATGGGTGGTCAAGTTTGAAGGTTTTAGAATTCTTTAATCTATGAAGATGAGTTTTGCTGAAAGTTAGAGTAAAACTTTGCTACCATCAAGTAAGTGAGACAGCGTAGTCTGGGATGTGGTAAGTACCTGATAAATATCATCTTGTCTTGGTGTCAGAATTCATCTTTTATTTAATTCTAATATCTAAAATAGCTATCAAAGTTAATTTCACTCATTTTTTTAATCAGAGGCAATTATTATGTTGTGTTTATGCTTTCTTGCCAACTAAATATATGTAAATTGAGAATATTTTGCTAATTTATGGATAGTGATTGTGGAATCAACAGCTAAAATTAGGTAAGTCCAACTTGGCAGAGTGATAATGTAGTTTTCATAGTGGATAAAAAAAGCCATAGATTTGGGGCAGAAGTTAAAATATGAAGTACTCATCTCTTAATTTGAAGCCTCAATCACAAGTGTCATGGAGTGATTTATTTCATTAGTTTAGAGAGAGTAATATCCATATCAGGGGAAGTTATCATTAAAAAATGAGATCATGATAACATTAGATAAAAGAACATATTTGAAAAGTGGATTAGGATGAAAGAGTGGGTGGAGAAATCAATTTAAGGAGTTTCAAACAACATTTATCAGAATAAGAAAAAATAGAATAATAAATATCATAAATCAGGCAAATAACTTATGAAACCTTTGTAAGTGATGTGTGTACTGTTTTTTTTTTAATTCAGATGTAAGCAGTTATCTATTAATTTTAATATTCATACTAATTTCATGATGGGAATGTGAAATTATAACTAATAATAATTGTAGGACACAATTGAAAAGTTAAAAGATGTTTTCTTTCAGAAATGCTAAAAATGGCAAAAACTTGTATATTAGTATCGATAAAATAAGGCACATAAACACATAAATAATGGTCTTTGGTATTCAATATATTTCTTTTTTTTTTTTTTTATTTTTATATAGAGGCATGTTTTTCTTTTCTTTCTTTCCTTCTTTGTTTTTTTTGTTTATACATGCACTGGGTACAGTCAGAAGCGCGGGAGGGTGAGAGAATTCACCAGAGCCAGAGCGGGGAGCAGAGCAGGCAGAAGGACCGAAGTACACTGCTGAGGGGAGCAGCGGGCGGCAGGAGAGGTCTGCACGCCATGTGGGACCCTCCTCCGGTGGCCGGGGAGCAGCCGGGGATCGAACCGGCGCTGCAGAGGCTGCGGGCAGCTTCGCAACCCAGCGCTCAACCGCTGCGCCACCAGGGAGGCCCTTCAATATATTTCTTAGTGTGAATTGTCATCAAAAACATTTGAAAATGACCTAGAAACTGTGTTTTGTGTTCCTTAGATTGCACTTGGATGAAACAAGAAACTCTTGTCAATTAAAAACAATCTTTCTAAAATTGACACAAAGATTCCATATTTATTAGGAATTTATCTGTCAAATTTTAAATTAAGATAACAAAGAACATTTTACTGACCATGAAATATGACAGCTAATTAAGATTGTGTGTGTAATACTTGCACACACAAGAATTTGATCCCCCAAACATCAAGACAGTGGACAGCCCAGTGGGTACGTTGGGACCATAGATTCTTAGAAAATTAAAACCAGTTTTTTTATAGAGTGTAAAATTCACTTCTAGTTATGTGCAATCAGTTTTTAAATACTTCTAATAATTAAAGCTTGAATAATAAATTAACTGCAGTGCATTTCAGTATTATTTGCAAAATTTATTCTAGAAAACACTACTCTATTTTGTTGCTACAGAGTCAAGTGCTGAAGTAAGCAGATTAATAAACTTGTAAACATCATGGAAAGAATTGTAGAGAGGAACTGGAGCCACTCGGATGCCATTTGGTTCCCGCTTGTCACACTGTAAGGGAAATAAAGCCACAGGAATGTTACTATTCTTCATATGATGAAAATTTACATTCAAGATAAACTTACTTAAAATTTTAAACTGATTTCCCTGAAATGTAATATTATTAGCAATTTTTTTCACTTTTGTTAAAATAGGGTGTTTCTATGCATTTTAAAACAATCTTTTGCATAATAACTAAAATATTGGTTGGCACATGAATAACCAAAGTTCTTTCCTGAATTATCTTTAAGTATTTAGTCAATCTTATACACAATTTATTTATGGGGTGGCCCCTGGAGAGACTGAAAACCTTAAACACTTAAAAATGAATGAGTCCCTCACACATACCTGAAGTATTTTAGTCTATTTTCTTTACATTTAATCATCTAAACTCTAATCTCACATCTAAGGAGTGGGCATATCCCTGGGATTGGTGAAATATCATGTTTTGGGCCCAGATAATTTGGTCTACCCTGAAGATCATTATACTTCTCCTTAAGAAATTCCCATTATAGGCTAGACCATATAGTAAATGGTTTGTGTGTGCTGGTCCATTTAATTCCCAAAACAACTCATTGATAATTATTTTTATACCCACAATTCAGATGAGTTCTCAACTGAGAATTTAAGAAACTTAAAATAGCATACAGTTTAGAAATGGTAGAGCTTGATTTGAGATCTCGATATCCTGATTTGTGATTCTAAAATCTACTGTGACTTCTCCAAAAGATTCAGAGTACAGCAGCTCCTATATTACATTATTAAGAAAATTGATACATTATCATTATTTTTCCTAAAATCACTCAGTTAACATTTACTAGTTCTGATCAAGAGGTTAAGGCTAGTGAGGTACAAGGATTAAGAAAAAAAAATTCAGATACCACCATGTGAAGAGGTGTGAACCTATAGTGTACTCCTCAGCAAGTGTTGTAAGCCAACATACCTCAATAAAATATAATAAAATAAAAAATTAATTAATTGAAAAATATCATACAAGGTGGATATTCTTGAGATGTGTCCACATATCACTCTCCTGGAGTAACAAGTTTGAAAATAGCTAAGTTTAATGGAACGGAGTCTGATTTATTTTCTCCTATACTGTATTGATAGTTCTTTAATTTTGTTTATTCAATAAATGTATATTGGGATTTTCACTACGGAAAAGCATGCCCAAATTGATTATAGTGAAGCGATTTTATTCTGCCTAAACTGTAATGAAAAGAATAAATGCATAAAATTGTTTCCTATAACCAAAATTTGTAGTTTCCTCTTTTATCAGAAATGATAGATCTCTATGCCTTTCAATTAACACAGTGCTGAATGCTTAGTTGGAATTTAACTGATCTGCACAAACTTATGGATTGATGTGAAATAACATGTAAAAGTGAATAAACCAAAGAGTATAAATTTCATACTCAAAACACAACTCATAGCTTGTACCGATAGCTAAGCAAGAGGTATACTTACAACAACTCCTCTTTTTTCTAGTTCTTCATAAACATTTTTTGTTGGAACAGAAAATGTTAGTGTTAACTGGCAGCCACGATCATCTATGCGAGCTGGAGTAATTATAGTCACAAACGGTTTCTTGGTGTCTGCTTTATCTTTGCTAAAGTAGTGCTTGAGCAAGTATTCCAGATAACCAGTTAGCAAAATAGATTTTCTCCTTAATGCTTTCATAGTTGCTTGCTTAAATATCTGCCGAGTAAGAGACAATTGGATTAACATTTTTTTGGGTGATTTACAAAGCAACAAAAATAGCTTAAAACCTACATAAAAAAGGAAATGCCCATTCTTAATCTTGCCAATAAACATCCCACTTTAGATAATCTTTTTATAAAAACATGTCCTCTTTTAAATACTTGACCATATAATTAAATGTAAGGTTTCCACAACAACAACAAAACTACAAACATCATTTAAAAAATTCTTGCAAAATAAGGAAATAAGCTCAATATAATTAGTACAAGTAAAAAATAAACAAATGCATTCAAATATAATAATGTTCAAACATTTCTCCCAAAATAATTTTATATAATCCTAAGTGGAAGGTTGTTTTCTATTCTGATATGTCAATGAGAGCAAACCACTGTGAATAAGTAGAAAGCAGTATAGCCAATATTATTTATAGTTGTTTTAACAACTTCTAAATCTCCCCCAGTTTAACAGTAAGAAAACAAGCAGTTAGATAATAAAGCTATGTTTTGTCAGGAAGGGAAACAAATATTTCTAGCACTAGTGTGAAAATACTGCCATTCGCTGCCTGTGGTGTCTTATGTTAAGATGAGTGACAAGGGCACACAATAACTGGTGTTGGAACATTAGGGGTCAGAACGGACATGTTTTTCTAGCTTATCTCTTAAGGTCAAGTAGAGTTTAAAAATATATCCTACATATAAGAACTGAATGAACTGCAAACGGAGTGTGATGCACTGGCATGCCACTTAATGTCCCTTTTCTGTATCATGTTATGCCACAGAGCAAAGATAGGGTCATTCGGTGACTTGATGAAGTCTCTGAAAATAGTTACTTCTGTATATACACATGGTGAGTGTGGGCAGGCATTCTAATAGGACACAAAACTCTCAGGCATAGATTTTCTTGACCTACGTAGCATGGAAGCTATGGATTTGGCTGAAGGAGAGGATGAAAGTTTCATTGAAAGAAATAACATCTAAGGAAGAGAGAAGAAATACTGAAATCTGTCTCTTTCTCTCCAGCTAGACCACTATGTCTGTCTGCAGCCTGGGACAAGATCAGCTCTAGTAGAGACTGATGTCTTTATCTAAAAAGGATCTGAGGTCCTCCCTGGTGGCACATTGGGGTTGAGAGCAGCTCTGTGAAGCTGTCTGCAGCCTCTGCAGCACCGGTTCGATCCCCGCTGGATGCGGAGCAACCCACGTGGCCTGGCAGACCTCTCCTGTCTTGCCCACTGCTCCAGTGTATTTCAGTCAGTCTGCCTGTTCTGTTCCCCACTGTCTCTGGTGAATCCTCTCACCCTCCCCCACATCTGTCCTGTACCCTGGTTCTTGTATAAATAAATAAATCTTAAAAAAAAAAAGGATCTGAGATTGGCAGTGAAAACAATAATGATTGAAGACTTAGGTTACCCTAGTAACAAGGAGTATGGTAGGAGGCATCTCCACATTTCCTCATGTCAAACTAAACATAAGAGAATCTGACACAATTAGGAATCAAGGGAACATAGCCAAGTTTTTGATCAAGAGTCAGGTCCAAGAATGAACACTCTTGTGGCAGGCAGGAGCAGAGACAGATAAGGCAAACCCTGCTTGTGGTTTGATTGTCAGGTTTGGGAAAAGAAAATATTAGAGGAATACTTCTGAGTTTCTCTTTGGTTATTAATAATAATTCATGGATTAAGTAATAATTTAATAAAATTTGATATATAATCCTGGAACTTTTTTGGTTTGCTATGATACTCAAAGTCATAGGTAAGGAAACTGTGGAAGTATTTACCTTCAGTAAGGTTTATTTGTATTCATGTTTTTAGTATGACTTTCGAAAATATTACTTAAGTTCATAGATTGCTTTTTCTTTTAAAGGAGACTTTAAAAGGAGACTGTTCTTTCAGGCATTTTTCTTATAGCAACAAACCAAAATTTTTAAATAACATAGGCTCTTTATTATAATGAAATCACTTTTTTTTTTTTTAAAAAGCTACTGCCACATTATAACCACAGCAAATTGAGCTAATTTCTGGGGTATCTTAACTACTTCTCACAGAATGTAGAAGTCTCTCCTGAGGTCTCACATAAAATTATTAAGAGTGTCTAATAGGAATTAACAGGGAAATGAAACAAATGCCTTCCTTTTTTTTTTGCTACTCATTATTTTTATGACTTTAGGAATGAAAAAGAATAATTTATTTTTATTTATTGATGCATACAAGAACTGGGGTACAGGCCAAGGAGCAGGGGCTATAAGGATTCAACAAAGACAGTATGGGGAGCAGAACAGGAAGAACTATTGAAACTGTTAAGGGGAGCAGCAGGTGAGACAAGAGAGTCTGCTGCTCCAGTTTAATCCCTGACCAGGGATTAAACTCATGCTGCAGTGCCTGGCCATAGCTTGATAGCTCTGTGACTTTAACCCTGCACCACCAAGGAGACCCCAAAAAAGAGTAATTTTTTAAATTAGAAAAAATGAAAAGTGCAGTTTGAAATATTCGGATTGTAATAGAATTCTTGGCAGAGATTCAGCATGTTATTTTATTTTTCTTACTGGGGTAAAATGAATGTAAAACTAGAGAATTCAGATAAGCTTAAATAAGAAAAATAAGTATAGTCTAGTGTTTTTAATTGTCATATTTTCTCTCTTAAAATCTTCAAATTGGTTCTCTAATAACTTTCTGAGGAAACACATAATACATTTCTTCTCACTTGCCATGTATTTTAATTGACTGCTCTAATTTTACATTTTAAAGCTACTCCTTTCATTATAAATTCATTTACTGAAAGTGTCTAAAAATTATCTACTGATTGCTGCATATAAATATGACCCTTCAAAATTCAATATATGTATAATTTAATTTCAACTTTTAGAATTGCAAGATTGAGAATATTTTTGAGTCTAGTCCAAGCACCTTCATTTTAAAAATGGGGCAAATGTATTGAATAGTTGTCACTTGTGTAAGGTCACCTGCTGTCCCAGGAAGGGGACAGTGTATTTGCCTCCTGGTTCCTACCCCAGAGCTCTTTCCCTTGATCTACAGTATTAAAAAAATTATTGTGTAAATGATTAAGAGCCAACAATATAAAGAAAGGGACAGTTTGAAACTGATTATAAGGAGTTATTTTTCATGGCGTCAGTCATTGCACATGTCATTGTAAACAACCATATTAAGTGAAAAAAATCACTTTATTGCAATTCTGAGATCATATTCATGTACACTGATTCTTTTTTTTAAAGAATCCATTTATTTATGCATACAAGGACTGGGGTTCAGGCCAGAGGTGCAGGGGGTGAGAGGATTCACCAGAGACAGAGTGAGGAACAGAGTGACTGAAATAAACTGCTGAGGGGAGCAGCAGGCGTGACAGAAGAGGTCTGCTGCACCACATGGGTAGCTCCCTGGCCGGCCGTGGATTGAATTCCTGCTGCAGAGGCTATGGATTGCCTCATAAGTGTTGTGTTTAACCCCTTGAGCCACCAGGGAGGCCCCATGTACATTCATTCTTAAGTAAAGAATCTTTCCTCCAGCTGGTATTCGACATGTAGACTATTTTTCAAAAGGGAAATAGAGACAACAAAGAAAGGTAGTGTGATTCACACATATATTTCTTACATTTATCGAACTTCAACCACTGATCTTCCATAATAACTTTGAAACAACTATGAGAACTACCAAAGTGCTTAATTTACTGAGGCTTTCTCACATGGCAGACTCAGAAAAATCTAGAAAGTAGAACATTGTGCCTGTTAGGTAAAGAATGGGAAATAATGAAATGTATTATTTTGTATTTTCAGAATTTTACAATTTATAATGGAGAGGAAGACTTTCAAAAAACCTCATATATAACCTCAGCCATGAATGACATATGTCAGGTATTTCCGAGACTCCAAAGAAATACTTAAGCGATAGAAACTCCTGAGAAGTGTATATCCCTCCCCTTGTGGCTTTTGGGGTTCTTTTGCTAGGCTTAAGTTTAGATATTAAAGAAAAAGATAAGTCAATCTTCATATCCAGCTGAGAATTTAAAAAAAAAATTGTCTAGGTGACTACAATACTGTGTGTTAAGAAACCAGTGGTTGGAAAAATAAGAATGTGGTCCTTCCGATGGCAGAAGGGGTGAATACAAGATGTGTACACCCACTGCGGGAAACACACCAAAATGAGAGTGTCTTAGAGAAAATTTCTATATATGCCGACAGATCAGTTGCAAAGTTAAAGAAAACTGGCAGAAATAAATTTAAGTACTAGTTTTGCCTAAGGTATGTCTTGCTACTTTCTTTCTGTAACTTATCTTCCCCCTGATATAATTAACTTGCAAAGTAAGCAAAACTATTTCCTTTTAAAATGTTTAACAATGTTTCTCCGAAATGCTATTATGAAACGATTGAAATAATTGTCTGATTTGATAGGGAGATCCTCTGCCCAAAAGAAGCTTTCAGAAAAACAGAGCTCTGGCTAGAAATTTTGTTACTGGATTTATTTTCAACTTTTAAAAAGGAAGAAAAAAATCAAAATCTGCCAAAAAGTGAAAACAGCACAAGCTCCATCTAGTGGTCAGAATGGGGAGGTGCTCTTTAAATTGGGATGAAAATAAGTTGGTTACTACTAGCTACTGTTGAAGTTGTATAAACACAGAGGAACTTGATGCTGACCTCCAGTGGCGAAAATGAAAAACTGCCATGAGTGTTGGCAGAACCCTAGAATCAAGGTTTAGAAGTTTTGGAAATATTTATCCAATCTCATGCTAAATAAAATACTCCACACAACAGGTTTTCCTTAGATATCATAAACTAGGTGATTTTAGGAGAATTTATATTAAATTATTTGTGTATAGCTGTTAGAAACATGGATATACTTTACTCAAATATATTTTACATTAATGAATTTTATATACCCTTTACTCAAGTGTAATTATATTTTACTGAAATGTATTTAAATAAAATATATTTTACTTAATATATAAATAGCATAGGATCAAAATTTATGTTTACAGAAGTAAATTTAGTATCACCCTGAAATTAATTAATATGCAAATAATTTTATGTTGTATAGATATAAATGATTAGATTAAAGACATCTATCAATCTATCTATCAACAGATATAAATAGCCTAGAAAACCAAATTTATTTCTTGGCTATTATTATTTAGGGTAAGATTAATTTTAAGTAAAAATATAAATGAACTTGGAGCCTTCCTGGTGGCACAGTGGTTGAGCGCTGGGTTGCGAAGCTGCCTGCAGCCTCTGCAGCGCCGGTTTGATCCCCAGCTTCCAGGCGAGGGTGCCACATGGCACGCAGACCTCTCCTGTCGCCCGCTCTCCTGTCGCTGCTCTCCTCAGCAGTGTATTTCATCAGTCTGTCTGTTCTGCTCCCTGCTCTGGCTCTGGTGAATTCTCTCATCCTCCCACACTTCTGACTGTACCCAGTGCTTGTATAAATAAATCTTTAAAAAATATATATAAATGAACTTAAAGAACAATTGAATCAGTAATAGAAATTACACATGGATTTATTGGCACAGAAACCTCAGCTAATAAACAAAAATCTACCCTGTCTCATGTGATAGTCTTACTCAATATTTGATTTTCTATGATTATTCATAGTTAAATTTTCCCCTTAAATTAACTCTCCCTACATTTTTGTCACATTTCATTTGACAATTCATTGACTCTTAGTATTAGAAGAGAGTCTAGCACACAGAACAATCTTAACAAGTAATTGTTAATGGATGAGTTTATCAAAAACTACTGAAACTTGGGCCTTCCCGGTGGCACAGCTGGTTGAGTACAGCGCTGCGAATCTGTCCGCAGTCTCCGGAGCCCTGGTTCGATTCCTGGCCGGCCAGGGAGAATCCCCATGGAGAGGCAGACCTCTCCTGTCTCGCCCACTGCTTTGGTCCGTCTGCCTGTTCTGCTCCCCAATCTGTCTCTGGTGAATCCTCTCATCCTCCCACGACTCTGGCCTGTAACCCAGCTCTTGTATAAATAAAAATAAATCTTTAAGAAACAACAACAAACAAACAAAACTACTGAAACTTACTTTATAGAGAAACACATAAAAGATTGAGTAATTTGCTCAAATGTAAACAAATTCTAAGTGGAGCTACAAATGTTTTCCCAGATCAGTCCTATTCAACGTTTCTTAAGCACCCACAATGTACCAAGCTTCATGCTGAAGATAAAACTAAAAAGTTTCAATTAGCACACAAACATCATCCTGAAGGAGAACACAGCCTTCTGCCCATTATTTCTGCAAACTCACATGAATCTTTCTGACTAAAAAAGGACTACCCCATGTCATCATCAGGTAAAGAAAAAGGAAACGATCCACAAGCTGAAATATAGAATACTTACCTCTAAACTAGCATGTAAAGGACAGACCAACAAAATGGGAGGATTTGAAATTCGAAATCCGTTGGCCCCAGGAATTAACTGCAGTTCTGAAAGATTAATATCATGATTTTCATAAAATATGCATAAGGTATCCATAATGTTTTTTTTTTTTAAATGATACTAAAGTAGGAGAGAGGAAAAGCAATAAGACTTCTTATTCTTCCTAAGATTTCTGAGCTATTTAAGAGAAACTCCAGCCTAAAATACTTTATCTTTACCTGAAATATTCATCTCCTCTTTCCACCTTCAAAGCCACCCACCAAACACTGGAACTTATAGACACACAGTAGAAATGACCTCCTTTGCAAGTTTTTTCTGGACTACCTCTTTATCCTTCCAATCCCAAGTCAGATTCCTTATTTTGCCTGTGCTTTGCTTTTCTATTATGAAACTTTGTCAAGGAAAGGAAAACATCAAAACCTGAGTTACTGGTTCTGTAATGTCTCCCCAAGGCAGAAATATGAATGAAATAACCTATGAAGGTAAATTTTAGCACTAAGTTTATCAGGTAAAGTGGCTCCTCTTAGGGAAATAAAAGGCATTAAATTGAATGATCTGCCTAAGTACGGAATACAGATTGTCCCTGACTTAACAATAGTTCAGTCTACAATTTTTGACTTTAAGATGTTTCTTTCAACTGTGTAGCTTAATGGTGAGAACCCATACTACCATTCTGTTCTTTATTTTCAGTACAATATTCAATAAATTACATAAATATTCAATAGTTCATCATAAAAATAGGGTAATTTTTTAAAATCACTTTTCCCAACTGCAGGCTAATGTAAGTGTTTTGAGCAAGTTCAAGATAGAGTAGGCTAAGATTTGAGGTTCAGTAGATAAAGTGTATTAAATGCATTTGTGTATTGTAATATTTTCAATTTATGATTCATTTAGGGGATGCAATCCCAGGATGAAGTAAGAAATATCACTATAGAAAAGGTAAATTAATAGCAGATTTCAGCCTAATTGGTATTAATTAGGTTCAATAGCAGCAAGTTCAACTCAGTAGAGTTAAGATTTCTAGATAGAGATAAAACAAAAACTAAGACTGAATAAAAGGTATTGCAATATTCTGGGTGCTTAGAGATTCTTTATTTCAGGTAAATTATTGTCCTATGGGTCTAGTCTGGTGCACCACTTGTTTTTTATGAATAAAGTTTTATCATAACATAGACATACTTATTGATTTATGTATATCCATGAATGCTTCAGTACTATAATGACAAAGTTGAGTATTTGACACAGAGAAAGTATAGCCTGAAAAGTTTAAAATATATTCTGTCTGGCCCTTGGCAGAAAAAACTCTTCCCACATCTGATCTACTCAAATTCTGTCATTTGGATATAAGAAAATTGATCCTAAATAAATTAACACTGGTATAATAACAGAGCTAATTATATCAGTACCCAAAATAAAATCTGGTTTTCTGATTTGAATGGAAGAGTTGATTTTGATCATTTGTGACTTGGTTATTGCACATGTAATTATATATTAAAATAGTATTTCAGGGATGGAAGCAGTCAGAAGGACCAAGTTTAACTTGAAATCTTGAAGCATTTATGAAATTTTATGTATCCCATGTGATTGAAGAATAGGACAAAGAAGTAGGGCAGTTTGGGAGTCCCCTATGCATGGTGTGGTTTTATTTCTATCCACCAGAGTTTTACCACTACTGTTTTGCATGTGGTAAAAGCCACGAGAAGAGACAAATGTGGGGACAGGCAGAATAAAATTAAACACTTGTTAAATAGCTTCTGATGTGCTACTTGTTTACAGCTTTGAACTTGTCTTACCTTTAAACCAGTGAAATGGATATTATTCATATTATGTATGTGAGAAACAGACAGACAGAAATGAAGATAATTTAATGTACAGAAAGGAAGCTGATGCAATTTGTGTTGTATCACAATGCTTGCAAGTAGCAAAGTGGGATGTACACCTATGTCTTTGGGTCTTACTTAAGTCAGAAATACTGTCCTGCCATTACTGCCTTATGTTTTGGGTGTTCAATATTGGTGAGATCTCAGTCCTATATGTCAGATTTCACTACCTATTATCTCCCTCCAAAGGGATAGACTTAAAATCATGGTAAAATCTATAGACACTTAGTTCTTACACTATGGAAATGTCATCTCTTATTTTAAAACTTCTCAGTGGCATTTCGAAAGTGCACACTCTCTGAGACATATATATTACATATCATACAAAGAGAGATGGAAAATGAAATAAAGTTCAAATAAAATGACTTGTGAAGTAAAATTGAATACACTTACTGTTATCCATTTTAAATCTGGTCTTCAGTTCATGGCTAAACCATCCCACTAACCTAAAATATAAATGACAACATTAGATGTTTTGGACTACAAAATAACCACATTTATGAATCTGGAACCCACATATTAAAAAAAAAGTGATATGAATCAACAAATAATTGTATAGACATTGCATGATATCATAAGGCAAGGGATATTTTTAACCTTATCAATAATGAGGATAAAATTAATTTATTCATATTACTAGTTCTATCCTTTTGGTGAAATAAAGTCATCTTTAAATATAAAAGATTCATACACATTTAAAAATCTATATTCAAAACTAGTGATGGGGAGAAATATGCTACAGGGCACATTTGAAAGTTTTCACCAACAGTTTTTTAAGGGAATTGTTTCAACAGCTCTATGATCATAGAGCATGGATGGACATTTGTACAGGAGAAATGAAAATGTCCCACACAATTTTTAAAAAACTCCATCTCAGTAATACTTAAAAATATGAAATAGTATAAAAAGGTATATTTCCTATACCAAGTTGGAAAGTCAGTTGAAAATTACGATGCCTCTTTCCTTCAAGTATTTGAAGAAAAGGAAGTATGTTCTTTGTCTAATGATTAGAATAATGAGGATAAAACTTTTGTTAGAACACAATGTGAAAATGTAAATGAAAAATATATATAGTTTTCTGATTAAACACTTTTATTCCTTTCAATTTATCCAAAGAACTGTTTGGATTGTGCTAAGATTTATGTATGAGGATGACTAATACAATCAAGTGTATAGAGACAAAACAACCTAAATATCTTGTTAAGTGAGAATTAACAACAAAACTGAGAAGAAATTGAAGGGATCTGACATATCAATAGCTTGTCAATAAGAGGGATGAAAACACACACAAATCAATAAGGCATTAGAAAAGAAAACATTCCATGAAAGAAGGAAGAAGAAAGTGAATATACCATAGGAAAGACAGCAAGAAGCAGAGCATAGTTGTGAGGAAAAAAATAGACAACAAAGACAAAATAGATTTTTAGTACTTTAGCTTATTAAATGTAATAAGCAAAGAAATTCTTCTATAACCAATGTGAGTTTCCAAACAAGAAAAGTACAAGTGAAATATAAAAATAATTTAAGTATGAAAAATAAATAATAATAAACAAATAAAGTGGTACTATGGAGTTAATACAGATAAAAGCTAAAGTTATGGCTAGAATATATCAATTTTGGTGAGGGGAAAGGATAACAATTAATTGATGAAACATAAGACAGTAAAGCTACGAAGAATAAAGTATTATTGGAAAAGTTAGTACAAAATAAAAAAAAAGTAAGAACATAAAATATAGACTGCCAAGATTAATTTAAAAACATAGCTCAAGTAAATAATTTTCTAGGATAATGCTATTTATCCAAAATAATCATGAAAGTGAAAGAAAATCTAAAGTAAAAGATTTTTTTTTTTTTTTTAAATAGAGGCATGTTTTATTTATTTATTTGTTTGTTTGTTTTGTTTATACATGCACTGGGTACAGTCAGAAGCGAGGGAGGGTGAGAGAATTCACCAGAGCCAGAGCAGGGAGCAGAGCAGGCAGAAGGACCGAAGTACACTGCTGAGGGGAGCAGCGGGCGGCAGGAGAGGTCTGCGCGCCATGTGGGACCCTCCTCCGGTGGCCGGGGAGCAGCCGGGGATTGAACCACCTCCGTGGAGGTCGCGGGGAGCTTTGCAACCCAGCGCTCAACCGCTGCGCCACCCGGGAGGCCCTAAAGTAAAAGATTTTAATAGAAGAAAATGAGGAACATCTCAAACATCTAGAACTCACAAAAGGAGGTGGTCTCAAAGGGAAAGTATATCACATTTCTCACAGTAGATAATGCCAATAAAATTTAAACTATTACAGAGCATAGAAACCAAAATCCAGATCCAAGAAGGTATGAGAGATTTCCACTTGTTTTTTTTTTTTTTTTTTTGGGGGGGGGGGCGACATGTGTAAAAATACAATATTAGTATCAAACCAGGTTAACATTGCCACATAAAGAAAAGCACATAAAGAAAAACATATTAATACAAAAATCATAAAAAAGATATTCTATTGTTTATTGAAACAATGTGTTATGAACAGTGGGACTCACCTAAGGAATTCAAAGACAACTCTGTAGTAGCAAATTTATTAATATGCAATTGTATTACTAAAGCTAAAAAGGAAATTATAGGATCATAGTCATAAACCAGATATTTCAACATTCTTAATTTTTAAAAAATCTAATCTTGCAACATACTGATAGTAGGATACCTATTGCATTAAGTATATCTTTTTTTTTTTTTTTAAGAGGCATGTATTTTTATTTATTTATTTATTTGTTTGTTTGCTTTTTTTTGTTTATACAAGCACTGGGTACAGTCAGAAGACGCGGGAGGGTGAGAGAATTCACCAGAGCCAGAGCAGGGAGCAGGACCGAAGGACACTGCTGAGGGGAGCAGCGGGCGGCAGGAGAGGTCTGCACGCCATGTGGGACCCTCCTCTGGTGGCTGGGAGCGGCTAGGGATTGAACCTGTGCCGCAGAGGCCGTGGGCAGCTTCACAACCCAGCGCTCAACCGCTGCGCCACCAGGGAGGCCCCATTAAGTATATCTTTATAGAGTCTAGAAGTCAGACTTAATAGAGAAAATGACCAAAGATACTTTCATTATTTTGCAGTTTTAAAAACTAGAAAAGAGGTAGTAAGTTATCACTGCTTACAAATTTCTGTAATTTTGCAACTAGTATGAACAAAGATAATTTATTATAGTAATCTGATATGAAAAATAAATACATTTAAAGTTGCAACAAAAAAATATATTGCTAAGAAATGTTCCAGGCCTACATAAAAATTCTTTAAAACACTCCTAAATCAAAAAAAACAGCAGAAAGATTTGAATAATAGTCAACATAAATAAAGTCCATTCTCAAATTGTTATATAAACTTTATATGCTTTCAATAAACCATACAATAGATTTTGATTTTATTTGGTACTAGACAATTTGATTCTAATGCCATAAGGAAAATTAATAAAATACTACTAAAAAAATCACTTAAAAATAACAGCAATGAAGCTAAATATTACACAAAATATTATATATTATATACTTCAAAGCTTTGTAAACCTTTAAAGTGAAAACAACATGGTATTGTGTCATCAAATAAAAAAATAATTAATTATATTAATAAAGCTAAAGAGACCATAATTTCCACAGACTAATGAATCTTTGAGAACATTCTATGAAGCAGCAATTTATTTTTGAAAAATCATTTGCAATTTTTATCAGTTAATCTTCCTAGGATAAAAATATTTAGAGATCAAAAATGCAAAAACAACCAAGCACGAAAAATGACCAAAACATATTAACAGATCATATGGAAAAGGAAAATGGCTCTTAAACATGAAAAAGAAGAGCTCTCAACTAATGAAAAGAAAAATACAAATTAAGCCACATTGATATGCCAGTGTTTATATCTTAGATGAACAAAAACAAGTTCTGTTACATACTTTATTGGTATTAACAATTATAAATAAACACACATACTTATTGGTATTAACAATGGAGACTCTCATGTATTATTGTTGAAAGAATAAGTTGATGCACCCCTTTGGAGAACAAAAGAGTAAGAGCTATAAAATTTAAAAAAATGCATATACCATTTAACCCGGAAAATTCATTTCTAAGAATTTACTTTCTAGAAGAACCTGTACTAACTATGAGGAGATTTTTCCCTTTTAGTAACAGCCTAAGGCTTGAAAAGAACCTAAAAATCCTTCAATAGCCATCTGGTTTTATAAATTATGGCAAGTCTGTATAAGAAAATATGATACAGTTATCAAATTAAAAATGAGTGAGGAAAAGTTGTATATCTTTGAAAGGAAATGATTATAAGACATGAAATCCAGGGCCTCCCCTGGTGGCACAGGGGGCTGAGTGCAGCGCTATGAAGCTGTCCACAGCCTTTGCAGTGCCAGTTCGATCCCAGCTGGCCGGGAGGGTCCCACATGGCATGCAGACCTCTCCTGTCTCTCCCACTGCTCCCCTCAGCAGTGTATTTTGTCAGTCTGCCTGTTCAGTACCCCACTCTGTCTCTGGTGAATCCTGTCACCCTCCCACGCATCTGGCCTGTACCCCAGTTCTTGTATAAATAAATAAATAAATCTTAAAAAAAAAAAAAAGGGCAGGGGGAAAAAACAGCTTAGGAAGTATGAAGGAATATCCTTCACATAAGTATTGAATAAATGACCAAATACCTAAGCTTATATTTAGCAGACCTTTGTGCCTGCAGGGAATATGAGTAAGTTTAAGGGTGTTGAGGTAACTGTTCTTTTTAACCAGTCATGTAATATCTAGCCTTTGAAATGGTTCAGACTGTCAGCTGTGTACACTGACCCTGTGAATAACCATCACATACCAATTCATTCTGTTTGGCTCACTGGGCCTTTTGCATAATGTCCCTGATTTGTTCTCCACTTCGAATGCCTCTCTACACTATGTGAGTCTATTTTCCCCCGCCTCCCTTTCCCACTCTTAGTTTTCTTTCAGTGTAATATTGCTTGACCTTAAGTGATTTCTGCTCATTTATTTGTTAAGTTTATTAATTTTCTAGTATGCACTTAATACTTCAATTTCAGAATTATAGTCAAATGATTTTTCTAGAGTGAAGTATTAAGTCTGCTTAGAAAACTGATGGTTCAGTTAGATTTCTATTTCTACTACCTATATTTTTAGTTACACATTAATTGTTAGTTGCCAGTTTCCTGATTTGAAAAATCTGAAGGGCCTCCCTGGTGGCACAAGGGGTTGTCTCAGCACTATGAAGCTATCCACAGCCACTGCAGTACAGTTTTGATCCTGGGCCAGGGAGGTGACCCACATGGCACAGCAGACCTTTCCTGTCTCACTTGTTGTTCCCTCAGCAGTGTATTTCAGTCAGTCTACCTGTTTTGCTCCACACTCTGTCTCTGGTGAATCCCATAACCCCCGTATCTCTGACCTACACCCCAGTTTCTGTATGCATAAATAAATAAAATAAAT